CCTTCGCTCAAAATGACGTGAGTGTGGTTATAAATATATATGTACATATATATATATATATATATATTTTCATGCCTTCGATATTTCATAGCGGTTGCAAGCTTTATTATTCCCGCGCGAAATATCAGTTCGGGATAACGTGGAGAAATAGCGCGAAAAAGGAGAAAAAGCGAGCGAAATAGGCAAAGATATATGTATAGTACCATTTACAAATACGTGGATACTTGCTAACATGTAATCTAAATTATTATTACAAGATAATATAATTTGTTGCTAAACAATTAGATAATTTCATGTACAAAAACTTATAACAAATAAATTGATATTTTTCTAATAAGATATTAAATGTAATTTTATTTACATCACCTAAAGTTTAATCAAATTCACCACAACGATCTGCAATATTGCTCTTTCACTCTTCATTGTTAACTGCTACAATTAAAAGAATATCCACGTACTTGATTGTACGTACTCGTACCTTTGCTCGTTCGAAATCAGCCCTTTTTTCGGGAATCTCGTTTCCGACCGAGTTAACGATCGTGATCGAACGTTTATTAGAATTCCACGATGCCTTCACCTCTTTTCACTCGTCCACAGGGGACAATTCTATATTGGAAAGGGTTGAAACGAGGTCTCTAGTTTCGCTTTCGTCGAATCTCGTCGCCTGCTTCGACGCCTCGTATATTAAAAAAAAAATCGTAATAATTCTCGTAACTCGAGTCGTTTCAATTAAACACCGGAAATGCACCCTCATACCAACATTTACACATTACGTTTCGTTGTATGCATACGGATAATCGAATCTTCGAATTTCGTCCTCCTTTTCCCCCGAGACAGACGAGGGAATTCCAGAGAGATCCGGTTAGATCGAAATTAATTATCGGGCGGGCAAACGAAAATTTCCAACGTCGGAAATGAAGTCCTCCTGAACGTTTTAACCCTGCCTGTGTCCTGTCGGATACCAATCACACGGCCCACTCTTTGCCAGAAGTGGCGAGGAACGAGGCGAGGAGCGGGGTGGGCGCAATTAGCGGGCGTAATTATAATCCAGGAGTCGATTGGCCCGTGGGACAGCCTCGTATCATACCAGACCGATCAATCGCCGAGCCCTCGATTTTAATTGCTAATTGCTTCCGACCCAGCTTCGTGTCGTCGTGGCCGGCCGGCGACGTGACGCGCGGATCGCTGCAACGATGCACCGCCGTGCAACGATTGCAAATCGCGCGTATTCTCCCGCTCCGCGTTCTCCGCATTGTTAGGCCGCCCACGTTTCACTCGCTCGTCCATCCATCCATCCATCCATCCATCGTCTCCGGGTCTACACTCGATTTCGATTTCGATCCGTCCGCGTTGATGACGCGCACGTGGAATTTATGGATCGATGGAATTTAATTACTCCCGAATGGATTCTTTGACACCTGCCACGGAGGATTACTAATTTCGTTTCGTCGTTACTGAATTTAGATTCTTTGAATGGGATTGTTGAGTATTATTCTCGTATCGATTCGATTTTTTGGTGGATATAGAGTAGATGATAAATATGTATTATAAATGTGTATTATTTTACTCGATATTATATTCGAATAATATTGTCTCCCTATTGATTCCTATATAATGGATATTTTATTATCATTGTAATATCGATTATTATTATAATAATAATCTGCAATGTTCGTACTAATTTTTTTAAAAAAATCCATAATCTTTCCGCGTGAAAAAAAATAAATAAAATTCGTCACGATTTGCTGCTACACGGTGCAGCACGGTGTACGAAACTTGTACAAGATTATCAAGTGAAAAGTTTTTCTCCCCCGTACTACTCTCGGACAAACTTGTTCAAGAAACGGCGAAGGTGTTCGAATATCGATGAAAAGGCCGTTAAACGCGATTAGGTATACGCGTATAACTTACACAATTCGCAACCATGGCCATGTTTCCGCCAACTTACCTTGCTCTCCGCTATGTTAATCCGATCTCGTAACCATAGATCGCGAAAACCTTTTAAAATATTTTTATTCGCCGTGCTTGTTTCGCCGGGTTGAATGAATCTCGTTTCACCTAGAAATAGAAAGAAATCTGAAATTCTTGTCTGGAAAAGGGGTACGACGAATAAACGAGTCTTGATGGTTCTCACCTGTGCGTACGAGGGACGTTGAGCGCCCTCTCGAGGAAAGAATGGGTTTTGGAATGGTTTACAGAGAGGCACGTCCATTTATAAAAAATTTCTGCTACGATCGCCTCCAACGTTCCTTCGTATCGTTTTTGGATACGTCTTCTCTCTTTCTTTCTATTTCTAGGACCAGGAACACGTTTGTTCCAAGCATTTGCGCTTGATTACATCATGTGTGTATTTAGGTAGAAATCTCGTAATCGCGAGAACGTGTCGGCGCGTGAATTTTAATGCTTCGTGATATATTTGGCGAGAAAGGATTTGAATAATTGTTGCGAGGTGGAATTGGAATGAAGGATCTTACGGAAGGATCTTATTTTTTTTTTCTTTGTCTTGTTGGTGAAAATAAGAGAGATGTGATGTAAGGAAGGTAGTTCAGTGTTTTGATAATGTAAATTATTAAATTCGCTTGAAAATTTTAAAATCAATGGAAATTTTTATGGAATATTTATTTGAATATTGCAATATTTCACGGCAGCAATCTTTTATTTTCGTTACAATATCTCTTGTTGATGTTATAATGAAAAATTTGTTATATTTTTATACGACAGAAATTTACAATATTTTTATCAAATTCCAATTTGCAGAAGAATAAAAAGGATAAGTTTTTTATGAGAAAAAATTTTAAATTTCAGGATATCATTGAAAATTTATAATACACTGTATTTTTTAATATGAAAAAAGTTAAATTTAAAGTAAAAAGAAAAAATAAAATATCCTCTCATCTTTTTTACACTCTTTGCTTTGATAACTATGAAATCATGAATATTCAAACCCATATCGCGGTTACATTAATATAAAATAATATAGTCAAGTAAATATTATATTATCAATATTATATTATACAAGATATGATTGAATTCCACTAATACATTCTAAATACTACAAAGTTCAACAAGATTTTTCGATCAAACAGCATTTCAATTATATAATTTGTTATCAAATAATTGAAATTCGTGTTCGGTATTAAAAACTGCAATTTTATTTCACGTATGTTTGTCAAAAAAAAAAAAAATTAAAAAAATATATATAAAATAAAACGTTTAAATATTTAATAAATCTTTCGAAACTAATATCAATACATCCAAATAATATAAATCAATATATCCTGCAATAAATTTTATCAGAATTGTTAAAGTTTTAATTTAATTTTTCATTGATTCTCTATATTTCCATATACTCTTTGTAGACTCATTTTTCTTCTCGATTACAATTCAATGCTATTCTAATATTGCGTTTATTGTTTAAAAAAAAAAACTTCTTAAAAAATTAAAAAGAAAAAGGCTAATAAAAGTAATAATCACTTTTCATTCTGCTGCGATAATTCGATACTTGGCATGAACTTTATTACACGGATAGATCTTTTCTCTTTTCGCGGCCTCTAATTTAATATATCACGAGAAAGCCCGAGCGAGATACGACTTTTTTAATCTTTCCACGAACGATAATTCGATATTTCACGGTGAAGTTGGAGCAAGCAAAAGGACAATTTATCAGAAAACCGCGCGAAAAGAAATTGGGCACGATCGAAAAAGCCAATCTCGACCACCGGTTTATTACAACACGTCGTAATTGACAGTTGGACGGGGAGGGAGGGGAAAGGTAGATTAAGCTATAAATTAGATCCCCTTTTGCAGTATTTCCGTCACATCAAAACACCTTTCGCGTAATTAGTGACCCGGTAATCACCAAACGTGATTCGCATTATTTAACTCGATCGTTGGTAATATATTAACACCGGTCTTTTCTGCATTCAGATAGAAAACGATCGGTTTGATTCGTTCATCATCGTTGAATTATTTCGATCGCTTCGAAACAGATCAAACGCACTTTATATCGTTTCATAAAAAGTGTCGAACGCTGGGAGAGAGGGTTAACGATTCGTTTTGGCCTGTAAAATCCACTTCATCAAACTGATCAGCGTTATCAAACGTTGGGATGGAAGTTGACAACTTTTGAAGACGTATTGAACGTGTTGTTTATTACTGTTTCGAAACAGCGATTGTCTTTGCACCGCGATCTCTCAAACTATCGAAATTTCTGAACGCGTTTCTCGATACATAGGCAAGATGAATTCGTTTTACGAGCAGATACACTTAGAGAGGAAGATGTTTCAGAGATCGTAAATATGTGCCGTGTACAGTAGATCGGAAAAGTATTTTTATTCTACGATACAAAATAAATTCATGTTACTTGGAATATCTGATTTTATACGTATAATAATATAATGATGTATTTTGAATGAGAGTCTCTTTGAGAAAAATAAAATCAACTTAATCAAAGATTTATATTTTTGTAAAATGTAATGTGAACTGATGGTAGAAATGTCTTTTGCAATTGACTATAATATTCCTTCGAAACATGGGCCAACTTGATCAAAAAGAAGAAAGAACAAAGACAAAATTAGAAAACGAGCAAAGCGGAAACAACAATATAACTCATTAATACAAAATCAACCATTGGGTTCGTGAGATTTCTTACACAAATTTCGCTGAAAAACTTGTAAGGGAACGAGTCGGTTTTCCATTAAAACCCAACGAAAGCAATTTAATTTTCAACTCAAACTAAGACATCCCTTTTCCCCATACTTTGAACAAATTCCAGCCGAGCAAACAGCAACCACGATCCATCCACTATCTCCAATAATTCCGCTTCATATCCGCTCATCTCGCATCTCAATCGCGTACAATCCCAACCAATCGCTAGTAATCGATCTCTCTCCACAAAATCCTCGAAAAATCCCACCGTTCTTCCTCCTCCTCGATCTTCTGTTTGTCCACGCCTCCTACGATCCTCCTCGATCATCGATCAGAGTTAAGAAAAAAAAAACGATCGAACCTTTAATCTTGTCCAAGACGTGCAGCACTCGACCACCCCAACCACCCCTGAACGCTCGATTCTTCCGGTTTCCGGTTACCACCGGGCAAGGAAAAATAAAAGGAACCTTTTTATCGATTCCACGCGCGATCCCGCGGGAAATCGGGCACCGTTCAAGTGGCTGGTGCAATCTATGGAAAAAGGGTGAAACTAGCAGAAGGATGGCACCGAGAGTTTCGCGCCACCAAAGGGCTCGTCGAGTCGTGAAGGCACAATTCTCTCCATTATATACACGAACCCTCTTCCCTTATCATTGCCGCGCTATATTCCACGCCGGCAACGGACAGCTGCCTCCCGCGGAGTAATGGAAAACAAACAAGGGAAATATCGCGCGTGTACGGCCTCGGCCATTACTCCCTCGGCGGCGTTCCCTCTTCGTTCCCATTCCTTGTTTGTCTTTCTCTGGTTCCCGCTTGTTTTGGCCACGGCCATTCCTTCCTCCTTCTCTCTCTCTCTCTCTCTCTCTCTCTCTCTTTCTC